CCCGCGGCTCTTTTGTCGGGGCGGCACGAGGAGCAGCAGCAGCAGCAGCAGAGGAGTCTGGGGCCTGGCGGCCTGTCACAGGAACAACATGTCATCAGCTTCATTGCTCCCTTAATGGCTCTCCTCGAGAGCAGAGACATGGCAGACAGTGTTTTGCCCCATCAAGGCGGCGGTCGACTCTGCGCTAACACACACTAGCACGCATACATAAACATTCATGTACACACTAATGCTGCTGCTGCCCGCTCTCAGCCACTTACGGGCCAGCACCGGAGAGACCGGGAGGCCCCTTTATGAAAACATACAGGGGTGCTGGAGATAATGTCTGGTCTAGACCTCTGGACTCAGGCCAGGCTGCCCTGCTAATCTGACTTCCATAGGAATCTCTGCATATTGCCAAGGTTTTGAAACGTCGGCCAGCCAAAATATTTATCTGCTGGAGCTGATCCTGGACTAAAGGCATGAATCAAGTTTTTTTTTTTCTTGTTTGAAAACACTCCTAATTGTTTAAAGTACAGACTAATAACTTTTAAATATCAAAGTTCAACAAGTGAAGAAAAAAACAACAACACAGAAGAAAAGTCACCTAAGGTCCAGACATGCAAGAATAATGTCTTACTGCTGATGAGGACGCTACTCCTTTCTTTAACACTAGGGGTGATATAAACGCTGTTTGCACTGAAGGCTCTGTACCGAGAGTCGTGCGAACTGGTGCCACTGTTCGATTTGGACATTTTAGTCCTAATAACACATCGAGATTATAACAGAACAAACCAAGACGATGCTGCCCCGCCCTGGTTCCAGTTATCATCACTGGATCTTTTATACTTAATCGTCAAGTAAGAACCAGAAGTTACACATTGAACTCGGATTGAACCGGTATTTAAAGCAAAACCACGTTTTATCCAAAGTAGTTACATCCAGGGTAACTGGACTCAAAGGTTTCTCCTAAAACCTACCAGTCCAGTAGATGTCACTGTTGTGTAGAACAGTGACTCTGTCTGTATTATATACATATATATATATATATATCTGCAGCTACAGTATATTTTGTTGCAGCTCATCTAAACTTTTGTCCTCTCCTCAACTGTCCCTCGGTGTCAACGCGGGGGAACATGACGACGCTGCCAGTACGTCTGTCTGTACCTGATGACAGTCCAGAGTCCAGCACACGCCCTCAGGGTTCAGCTCCACGGCCGGACCCTCCCTGTCGACCGCACTCCCACTGAACCTCCACCACAGTCTTTCAAAAACCTCATATTTATCTTGTTTCTCATTTTTGCGGCGCCAACTCGCACACTCACCACGCGGTCCGTGGGCCGGACACTGTCCACGCTGGTTTGGCTCATCAATCACTCTCCTCCAGCCCCCGTCCTCCTCCTCCTCCTCCTCCTCCTCCTCCTTCTCCTCCCTTCTGAAAAACACAGTCACTAATTAATGGAACAGGGTGGATGACAGAACACAGGGGTTTCCTGGAAATTAACCATCAATCCCCACTTCCATTTTATGTCTAACAGCACGAGGTGGGGGCAGATGGATGGGTCTGAAGTGGTGGCAGTGCAGGGACACTGGTTCCAGGATGTCAGAGCTCACACATGCTAATGCATCAGTTGTAACTGGGCTAACCTCCATGTGCAGGTTGGCGGCTGCTGTTACACCAGGTCACCACAGCGACACACAGGACAGATGACAGGACGAACACCACGACATCTGAGCTGCATCGATGTCAATGCTGAAAATAACAAAGGCATCGTTTTATTTTCCCCCTCTGTGTTGAATTTATTTGCTCTCGTGCCATATCACACTGGAAGGGTCGAAAGTTGAAGGTTGATCCATTTCTTATATACAGTCTTTTTGAATGGCGGGCAACTAAAATTTGACGGGCTGCCGGGTCAGGAGCAGCGATGTGAAGGTCTTTTTGAATGGCGGGCAACAGTGGGTCCTAAAATGTGACGTGCTGCCGGGTCAGGAGCAGCGATGTGAACCAAGATAAATGATATGTAAAAGTCATGCATAAAGGCTAAAATGCTAAAATGCTTTTAACGTTTTTTGGTCCATCTATTGGGCAAAGGCTGACGTTGCAGGTAAAGGTATAACGATAATATAAATTAATACGATTTTTTTTTTTTGGTAGTTATTTGACCTATCGTGTGTGGTTTGATATGTGGAAATAGTGCTTCACATTTCAATTTTTAATTGTAATCTGCCAACGACGCAAAAGCTCCGCTCACTTTCTGTTGAGCTAGCCTTCGCAAAAAAAAACAAGTTTTTATTTTTATTTAAAATCTTCTCTGTGTTTTGTTGATATGTTGTGTTACCACAGTGTCAGTTTGTCATTGGGTCCTGGAATAAATTTCTGTTAATGAGATTTACTGAAACCCAAGCTAAAAAAATATCGGGCTTTTTGTACTTGATATTGGAAAGTACATAAACGAAAATACTCCTGGCTGTTTTGGACCGTCGCTTACATTTGAACATCTTATTTGGACATGTCATAGTCTGAAGTGTTCGTCCAGTTCAAAATGCAAAAATAAAAACATCAATAATAGTAATATTATGTGACGCAGCAGAGGAACAGACCTCAGATAAGCACCAGTAAGCCCCAGGCCCAATCCCCCTGGTGGATTCCTGATTACAGTGCGACAACATGACCAACAGTGTTGCACAACATGACATTTGTGCATTTGTTTACTTTCACAGCATTGTATTTTGTTTAGGCTTCCACTGAGGGGAACAGTATTTAAGAAAACAAGGAAGGAAACCGAGTGAAAACAAAGGAAGAGGAAGAGGAGCCAGTGTAATGGAGCCCGTCCTCGCTGATCCCCTTTCAGCTGCAGTCGTACGGACAGTGGCGCCACCGCAGCAACTAATTGCATGTGGTCACTCACAGAGGACCTTTGATTTATTTGTTGTTTTTTTTTTTTAAAGTAAAAATCACAAATATTCATGAAGAACTGATGAATGCTGGGAGAACGGATGTGTTTTAGTTGTTATCGCAAACACAACACCAGTCGGTGATTCTTCCCCAGACCAGGAGCCGACGTTAGAAACATTATGGCTGAGTGACATCAGTGTAAACTGATGACATCAGTCGATGAATAACTCAAAACCAAATTATTTTCAAATATCTTAATAGATA